TTTTTCTTTCTCCTCATGACTGTGCGGTGATGAACACAAGGTCATGTCTCCCCATTCGGACTGGGAACTCCTGAGAGCCAGGCTCTGTCTCCTCCCTTAGGTTGAGGGGCCTCTGAGAGCAAGGTCAATTATTTTGCCTCAGACTGAGGGCCCCTAGGAGCAGGACTGTCTCTTCTTCCCCCCTCAAACTGAAGCCTCCTAAGTCTCTCTCAGCCTCAGACTCCTCTGCTGCTCAGCCTGGGACTATTCAGCACACGTGTGAAGAGGGGTAGCTGAGCCTCCCAAGCTCTCTCTACCTCTGCTAGCTTTCCAACTCCATGCCTGGTCCCACCTGGCTGCCGGGTGCGGGAGGGTGGGCTGGGCTGTGGGGCTCCCTGAGCTGGGGAAGACAGGGCCTGGGTTGGGGCTGAGGCCCTCTCTCCTTTCTCTTTCCCTTGGCCCTGTGTGGTGGAGGGGGCACCCTGAGTGCTAAACCCTCACCAGGGCCATCTTGGCCTCTCCTAGCAATAAGTGAGGAGACAGCAGCTATTAATATAAGATGAGTTCACGGGCTCACGGCTTCCGCAGGCTGGAAAACAGGCTCCCGGGGCCATGGGCTGTGGCAAGGCTCTGCTGTCAGATTCCCTCCTGGAATCTGGAGACTTCCAGCCTCACGACCCCCAGCTCCTTCTGTGCTGAGACGTGAGTGCATGCAGACACATGCACACAGGCACACGTAAGCACACATGTCTAGGCCTCTGGCTGTTCAGAGAATACAACACACATGGACACACATGCAGATGTGCATGCATACCCAGATGTATCCGCACACTAATGCACACTTGTGCACACAAACACATTTATCACACATGTGTACACAGACCATGTCAATTTTATGTGTACGTTAGCATGCTGAAGCACATACTTGAATTTATGCGCATGCCCTGTACACAAGTGTGTATACACAAAGACTCCTGTATACACATATGTACACATAGGTCTAGCCAAGCTTGCATACCCCAAACCATACGCACACCATGAATGCCCACACATACAAAGACACAGTGCACATGTGTATATCTACAGTCATGTATGCAAGACTGCATTGAAGGACATGAATGCATGTGCACACTCCACACACTGCGTACACACTCATACATGCACCCAGCTCCTGTCAGTGTTCAGCAATCATGAATTCACAGGCTGACCCTCAGTTCCAGCACCAACGGGCTGGCTCAGCCTCCCCTCCCCCAGCTTCACGACAGGCAGCTCAAGCTCCTGCCAACCCCAATGCCTGCCTTCAGCTTCCCGCCCCCCGGGGGTCCCCAGATCCCTGATTAACCCCCTCGCTAATTGGCCACCAGCCCCTTGACTTTGCTGCAGGCCTTTTCACAAGCTGGAAGCGAGAGGCTGCAAATTGGCCAAGCAGGATGGGTCTGGGGAATAGTATGCACGTGGTGGGTGAGGGTGGGGGTGCTGCAAGCCCAGTCAGTGCCTGGCTGGAGCCAGGCAGAGCGCCCCGCCATACCAGGGCTGGCTGCAACACTGGGGAGCATCCTACTTTGGGGAGGGCACTCCTATCATTCATGTGTACACAAAGCTATCCCTGCACACATGGAGTCCTGATCGTATGCGTGTATATATTCCTTTTTTTGGAGACAGAGTCTCACTATGTCGCACTTGGTAGAGTGCCGTGGGGTCCCAGCTCACAGCAACCTCAAACTCTTGGGCCCAAGCAATTCTCTTGTCTCAGCCTCCCAAGTAGCTGGGACTACAGGCACTTGCCACAACACCCAGCTCGTTTTTCTGATTTTTTAGTAGAGATGGGGTCTCCCTCTTGATCGGGCGGGTCTTGAACTTCTGAGCTCAAGCGATCTACCCTCCTCGGCCTCCCGGGGTGCTAGGATTACAGGCATGAGCAACTATACCCAGCCTGCGTATATTTCTTGGTGAACAAGCAACCAAGTGGCCACAGGCTAGGAGGAATCCCCTTTCCTTAGTCTGCCTCTGGCTTGACATAAAAGTATGCTTCAGGTTTGTTCACTCTACTGCTGGGAGTAGGGGGCAGTGAAACATACCTAAGTTCCAAGTTGCCTTTTCCCGGCCTCCATGCTAAATGCCTAAGCCTGGGCCCCCCTCTGAGTTTCCCCCCAAGTCTTTAGGCAGCCACAGAGACCCTGTCACAATTCTCAAAGGCACAGAGCTTCTGGCTTTAGCCTTCTGGCTTGCAGTTCCAGTCCTCTTGGCTAAGGCCCAAGCCCCCAAGGTGCTCTACTGTCTTGTAGGCAGTCTGGGGCATTGGGAACCAGAGGGTTTCTATTTCTATGTCTGCTGCCAGCCTGCTGTGTGACTTTGGGCAAGTTGTTGTGCCTCTCTGTGACTTCTTTCCTCATCTATAAAAAGGAACAAAAGGCTGTGTATTGGTAATCTTTCCAAGACGGTCCTGAGGAGTACATGGGTTCATGATCATGGGTGTGCTTTATTTGGGCACACATGTCTGGTATGTGCTCCCATGATGGTCAGACGCCAGAGTGGAGGGGCTGAATACGGAATCATGGTCAACAATTGTTGAATTGACAAGGAAGCTGAGGCCCGGAGAGGCAGCAACGAAGTGGGAACTTTAAGATCCTATCTCTAAATTCTCAGCCAGAAAGCCCACTCCTCTTTAACCGTGTGAGCAGTGTGACGTCATGTGTGCACTATGGATATGCATGCAGTTCCTTGGGTAAGGGCAAGGAAGAGGTCTATGCAGGACCCTTTGTCCCAAATATTACTGGCCCTCTTGTCACCAAGGGACAATTCTACCATGAAAGATTACTTTGGATATTAAAGGCTTTTTTTTGTCCTTAAACTTCAAGAGTGCCCCCTAGATACCCACATCTCATAGGCTCAGGGGCAGTATAGGGGGTGGCACCTGAAACTGCTCCCAGCCATGTGATCTAGGAGGGAACTAGCTGACAACCTCCTCAGAGTAGAACTTCCAAGAAATGGTGCCAGGTTGCCCTGGCCACTGGGCAGCCAGGAGGGGGCAGTGAAAAACTGGCAGAGGCAGTGAGTAGGGAGGGGTGGCTCCCAAGGACTTTGTGACGTTTGCCTGTGATCATGTGTGTTCCTGCAACTATGTGCTGATTCGTATCCTTGTTTGCACAAGGTCTGCACACACTGTGTGCTTGGGTTTCTGGGCCCAGGTTAAGTGTGGCCCCCTTGCACATACACATGAACGTGTGTCTGTGTGAAGCTCTTGCCCATATCTGGGGAAACCACTTTGTTCCCAGGTAGCTGTGCAGGGTACTTCCTACTCTTTTTTTTTTTTTTTTTGGTTGCAGCCATCATTGTTGTTGTTTGGCGGGTCCGGGCTGGGGATTCAAACCCGCCACCTTAGGTGTATGTGGCTGGCGCCTTAGCCTCTTGAGCCACAGGCACCGAGCCGGTACTTCCTACTCTTAAGGTCTAGGATACCTGGGCCCTCAGTCATGCTTGCTTGATTTCAAAGCAAGAGCAAAAATAACCATCGCCTGTTATTGCACCTGTAAAACTGGACACCAGGGGGAGGGGTAGATAATAATCGAAACCTTTAACATGCTCCTTACACTAAAAACTGGCATTCTAGATGGAGAGATACTTAAGCTGTTATTTAACACATTGACTGCCACAATAGAAAAATTTTTTTCCTTAGGTTCATGGTGTTTTATTATGTCAAGAGACATACAAGTTATACATGCTTCACGAGGTCTTGGGCTCAAAACTAAAAGTTAAATACAACTCACATGGCAGTTAATGTGCATGGGTTCTGGCTTGAGCCTTGTGTTTGAACCATGGCTCTATTTCTGGCCAGCTATGTGATCTTAGGCAACTCCCTTCACCTCTGTGAACCTGTTTTTCTCATATGTAAAATAGAGGACCCCTGCTTCTCAAGAATGAAATAAATTATATGTAGCCTTTCGCAGGTAGTAGGAGCTCAATAAATGTTCATTCTTCTTAGATCAGTTCCAAGAGGTGAAGCGACTTGCACAGGGTCACAGCTCCCAAGTAGGAGCCAGAATTCAAGCTCAGGCCTCTTGATTCCCGGAACCACATTCCTTCCCTTCCAATTCCCTAGCAAGGGCGGCTCCCGACACCACCATTTTGTCTTCTGCCAGGGCGGGCGTCTGGCTGCCTGTCAGTCACGGCCTCGGGAAGCCAAGTGCTGACTAAACACAGGCCCGGGCGGGTGGAATGAAGGGGCTCCGCAGGGGCGAGCTGGCTCCGCCGCCCCCTCCCCTGCATTCCCACCTCCAGAGATGAGCTCAGAGCGGCTGGCGCAGCAGTTGCTGACAATTCAAAACTTCTGCCCCCTCTCCTGGGACGCCAGTGGGTGACTCTCTCTCTGCACAGCAGGCGTGACCCGCAGTCACCAACCCTGCTCCCGCCCCTATCCCCAAGCCACCGCACTGAGTCTACAGGGCCCAGAACCGGGTGTCTGCTCATAAATTACCCCTTGGGACAGTTACCCGCAGCAGCTGTGCTAGGAAAAACCGTTGCTTCCTGGGTAGGTCATTTTTTTGGGTCAGAATATAAACCCAGCCCCCTCGCCTTCCCCAGGCAGGAGAGGGGGTGTGCATCAGCCTAAACCTTTTATCGGATTCCACTGTAAATCGTTCTATTTAAGGTAAGTTGCTTGGGTCTGAGTGGCAGACAAGATGCCGGCCAGATGTTGGGCAGCAGCGGCAGCAGCAGCAGCAGCATTCAGCCTGTGCTCCTCTCCTGCCTGATCTGAGGAGTTGCCAGCAGCTTGTCTCCTGCAGCCCCAGCAAAGCCCCTTACTCAAGGTGACTGGGGACCCCGGTATGTAGGTCTTCCAACTTGAGTCTCCTCCTAAGCCAAAATGGTAACTTTCTACTTTAGGCACACAGGCCACCAACACCCCCCACCAACCACCAAGTCCTGCCCTTCAGGACTTACCCACACTGGAGCACCTGTGGCTCTCATTGTCCCCTGCTTCTAATCTCCCATTACAAAACAACATACACACACATCTGAAGTGACTGGGTGGCTACAAAGACTTTATCAAATGATTTAAGATGTTGGCATTTAAGTATTCATGTGTATACATAAAATAGTTACATGGGAATTTCAGGTCACCGTGGTACAAATGTTACACACAAGAGCCTGGCAGCAAGCAAATGAAGCCAGGCTTGAAGCCACAGGACCTCAAAAAACTGGATGTCCTCTATGGGTCTGAGAAAAGGGCAGAAGAGGAAAGAGTTTAGGGGTTTGGCTTAACCCCACTGCTCAGATCTCTTCAACTCCAATAGAAGAGCCCTTTCCCACCCTCGGGGAAAGGGGCCTGTTTTCAGTGTATCCCCACTGTATATACTCCTACTCCCTAAAATCTTGATGTGGCAAAGACACCCAAGAGCCCACTGGAATATGTCCTTATAAATATATTTATATTAGAGAAGACAAGGCACTTTGGGAACATTATGGCTTACTCTCCTACATGTACATCATTCTAGACAGAATGTAAAAACTGGTTAGTTTCTCAAGTGAATTAACTGAATAAACTTAATACAACAAAATTGTTCCCTAGCCCTCACTGAGGCACTGTTAGAAGTGAACGTCGCAGGAGGCACAGAATGAGGCACACCTCTGTGTAACACCTGGTCCCAGGGAGGTTGGCCCCCCCATAGCTCAAAGCCTGATGCCTCCCAGGAAGCCTGACATTTCTCATGAGCAAGCTCCCTGGCCTTGGAGCACCGCCTAACTCCCCAGGCCCAGAGGTCAGGTGAGGGGCTGCAGTGGAGGCAATCCTAGAGTAGAGATGACACACGGTGGGAATGCTTAAGCAGGGTCACCAAAGCCACAGAGACCTCAATCTGTCCAGGCTGGCGCTGCAGAGTTGGAGGATCGGCGCCACGGGAAGAGATTTCACATTAGCCCTGACAACACCGCCTCAGCTCTGCGGTGACATTGGCCAGGGTCGTTGCTGAGGGCGCTCCAGCTTCCACTGGAGGAGCTAGAGCTTGGGCTGGCTGCTCTGAGTCTTCAAGAGCTTGCTGAGCCTCACCACCTCCCTCCCCCAGCTGCTTTTTTGGAATGTACCCATCTCAGGACCAAGGCAAAGCCACAAGTCGCTTCAGACACTGCTGACTGGAAGCTGGGCCCCTGGGCCACAGGAATGGGGGCAGGTCCCCTGGGCTGGGCAAACCAGGAAGGGAGGAGGGTCCTTGGTTTCAGCGCTAACAGTCCTTATGGGCCATTGTTCCTATACTCTTTGCCTCGGCCCAGTTTAAATAATCACTAAACTTTACATTCTACAATTACAGGATTCCAAAAACAATGATTACCTGCATTGGGTCCTTTATCATCCTAAAGGGCTCTGGGTTTAAAGAAGCAATTTTTTTTTTGGTGCATATATGCATAAGTAGAGCCCAGAGGGCCTCTCGGCTGACTGGGTCCCCAGCCCCCCGAGCTGAGGAGGCTTCGCAAGGCCGGCTGCTACAAAGCGCCGAGCTTGGCTGCATAGATTTTAATGAGAGCGTCAGGCAGAGCTGTGCTGTTGCTCTCCGGGACTTGCAGATCATTACCAAACCAGCTGTAGGATGAGAACACAGCACATCGAAACCCTAGGAGGTCACTGAGCTAATGATCTAATCCTACCTTCTGCAGGCAGTGCCCCTCCCCACCTCCTCCTGCCCCCAGCTCTTTCCACAGTGGACTTTGCCCATTCCAGAAGACAGGGCAATACCACCCCCTTCAAGGTCAGAGCAGAATGATAGTGAGTGGCTCTGGCTCCCCCTTTTCCGGAAAGGAGGTGGATGGGGGCAATTTAGTCAAAGCCATTAGGCCCAAACCCTGGCCTGGCCAGGCCCCAGGATTCCTATTTGGGAAAAACCACTGCCCTCTGCCTGCCTCTCCAGCTACTGCTGGGCTGTAGCCCGGGCACCTTCAACAGCCATTTTAGGGTTCTGATGAAAGCCCCTATACTCCCATAGCTTCCCAAGTGCAGAGTGGGATACAAGTTGGGGGGCCCCCATAGCCTGGTGTCTCAGGTGCCAAGTCCTGTGCCAAAGACACCTAATCTGCAGAGAGGGAAGAGGGCATGCTTGGGAGAAGCCATAGCAAGAAGACATTCTGGAACCTACATTGCCTGTGTCCTTAGTTCCAGGAAAGAAGGCAGAGGGGAAGCATTCAGCAAGGGCACAGAGGCAGTACCCATGATTATACACATTCTCCTGAAGCCGGAGGGGTTTACGAGGGCTTTGGCAATTACTACAACCATTTGCTGTGCTGAGTAGAGACAGATCCTGTTTCTCTTTGTTTCAGGGCTCTGAAAGCCAGAGAAGCCAGGAGAAGCCGATTTCAGCATAAGAGGCTACACAATAGTTAGGGCAGAAGAGAAGAAACCTCACTGTTGGCCAGAGCTGACCAGCTTTTTTCTGAATAATAGCACCTGTGTATTAGCACTGGTTAAAAGCGGGGGTGGGGGGCGGGAACGGACGGGGACAGAACATCATCACTGTGTGCAGTGTGAGGGGGGTGGAGGAGAGCTGGAGACAGGACCTAGAGTCCCTCTGCCTTTCAGCCTGCTTCATGGCTGCCAGGCCCCCCCAGGCAGATACCTACATGGCTGCCAGCCTGAGGGACTAAAGTTTCCACAGTTGGCAGAACCTAAGCTTAAATTGGGGAAATAAAAGGGGAGGAGTTGCAAAGGAATTGAAAACAGCACCTGTCAAAGCTGCCTACCCCCTTCCTTCTCTCACTACTTACAATCTCCCAGAAGGGCAGGTCCCAAGGCCATGTGGTTGGCTGGTGATAGGAAAGGGACAACAAAGAATTATGAGAGAGGCCAGGAGGGTCTGAGAAGCACTGACAGGGCTGGCACAGGTCCGAACCCTCCTACTGGGCCCCCACCTATGGCGCAGTCTGGAATAGCACAGAGCCAAGACAGCACTGCCCAGACTCCAGCAGGGGCCCATTATTTGGTCCCAGAAAGTACAGGTGACTTGGAATCAGGAACCTGGGCTCTATCACTGTCACTATCCAAATGTGTGACCTTGAGTAAGTCACTTCTCAGCTCCAGGTCTCAGCATCATTAAGACGGTAGGACCCAAGGAATTCTACTGTTCTTCCAGTTCTGTGTTCCAAGTCTGTAAGCTTTGCTCCTAACAGCCAGCAGAGGCCCAGGGCCCTGTGTGTCAGGGGTTAATTTGGTCATGGATATTAGAGGTTAAAACAGCTGTGCTGCTTGAAGGCACCTAGAGGTGAGGGAGGGGCATTTAAGGGACACCTGAACATCATACTCAACATGGGGGGATTGAGAGGGAGGCACCTTCAGAAAGTCATCATTTCTGAGCAGAGGGGCAGAGACATTTTTAAGAGGCTTTTTGCCTCCTGGAATAAAGGGCATCCCAGGCAGAGAAATCACTTAGCAAAAGGCAGTCCCTTTATGCTGATCAGGGCCTCCGGCCTACTCTGCCTTCTCAATGCATAGGAAAGGGCTAGCTGTGTCTATGTCTCACTGCTTTAGGACCAGGAGATAGCTGACATTATTTGAAGCAGCTAAGGGCAAGGATCTTAGAAGAAGACCACAGCTGAATATAGCTCCTAGGGGAAGGCACCATCCCCAACTGAAACTCAACCAAAGGGAGTTGCTTTGAGGTTTTTCCTTCCTTTCAATACCCAACAGTCACTTGAAGGGAAGAAGGAATATCCCAGTTACTGTGGAGCCCTGCAGGGCCTGACAATGGGGAGAGGAAATACATGTTGATTTGGAGGAAGCACTTGGATATATATCTTTGGTTGCTTCAGGGAAGGATTTGGCCCCTTGAACTTCTTTTTTTCCTGCCTTTTCTCCCCCCATGGGACTATTGGGTTAGGCATCGAAGAAGGAAAAGAAAAAGGTGGGCAGCAGGCAGAAAGAGTTAATCCGACCAGTCATCCTCATCAAACTCAGAGGAGTCATCTTCTGAGTCACTGTACTCAACAGCAATGCGACGTGACAAGATGGTGGCCACATCATTGCCCACGACATCCCGCTTCTCTTGTTCCTGCTGTTCCTCAACCCTGCGCAGCTGAAAGCCTGGTGGCAGAAGGAGAAAAGGGTGAGGAAGGCACATCCTCAACCTCAGAATCCATCCAGGACTAGGTAAGGGGGAGTGGCCACTGACAGGTGCTACAGGTGTGCATGAAAGGAAGCCTGCCATCCTCCCTAGTGTACATGCTCTCAGGCTGGTGAGCATGTACTTCTAGGGAGGAGCGGCCACCACATCCCAACTAACGGCTCCTCGGTCTGCCAATTCCATCGATTATAATGGGGCTTAGCTGTCCTAGATTTTCTTCTCTAAACTAGAAGTTCCTTAAAGATTATAAGCAATAAACCACTATAACCCTCTGGGATCAGACCTGGCCTGACAGAGAATAAATGCTCCAGAAGAATTGAGATTAGAGAGAGGGGCAGAGGAGGAGGGGGGGGAGGGGGAGAGAAAGGAAAGGGGAGAAAGCAGAAGGAGGGAGGATGTGAACAGCAAAACACTGGAGAAGGTCAGGGGGTGGCTAAGTCCAGCTGAACAAAGACCCACTGGGACAGTAATTCTTGTTTTTTTTTTTTTTTTTTTTTGAGGAACAAACCCTTTTGAGAACCTGATGAAAAATAGGACTTTTTCTCCAAGAAAAGAAATGCATGCAAACATACCTAAAACATACACTTCCAAGGAGTTCAAAGGTCCCAAGTTAAGAATCTTTTACTTTAAACCAAGGTAGAAGGAAATCTAAATCTCCACCTTCAGAATGAAACCTTTTTTCAGGCTGCTCTGAGGCCTGAGGTCCCACTCTCTCCCTACCCAATGAAACCTATTCCCTGGGAAGGGCACAGAGCTCCCTTCAACCACCCCTGAATCAGTCGGCCCTGCTTCAGAAAGATAATGAACGGTCCCAGACAGACCACTGAGACTTACCTTGACGGATGGCTGAAAGCAGGTCACTACGGGCATCGCTCACAGCAGGCAAGGAGGACTTGGGCTTGGTGGCATCAGAAAGTGGTGGTGGAATGGCAGGCTGGCCCTCCACACCACTGAAAGGGGGAGGAGGGGGTCCTGGGGGAGGAGGAGGAGGAGGAGGGGGAGGAGTTCCCCCTGTTGGTTGGGACAAGGGAGGTGGTGGCAGAGTTGGATAGTCAGTGGCTGGTGGTGGGGGAGGAGGGGGAGGGGCAGCAAAATCAGGGTGAGGTGGGAAAGATGGGGGTGAAGGTGGTGGAGGGGTCCCTAGAGACCCAAATCCTACAGGTGGTGGTGGAGGTGGGACCCCCATCATTGGAGGTGGAGGTGGTGGAGCAGGCGGTGGAGCAAACCCAGGTTTGGGGCCTGGTGGAGAGCTCAAAGGAGGTGCTGGTGGGGGGTGGCTTGGGCTGACCACACTGGATCTCTTGAGTCCAGCCAAGCCAGATCCTCTTTGGTTATCTGCTGGGTAGCTAAAAGGCCAAAGACAGAAGACCCATCATCATTCTCAGGATGTAAATACTCATTTACAGTTAGGCTTATCTATAAGCCTAGGTCTGTCTTGGTTGACCATACCACTTTACTTTGGCTCACACAAAGAAGAAAAACCTGGGTATCATCAGAACAGACCAGCAATGAAACAGGCAGACCTTTAAAGTAATGAGCTTTCTACCAGCAGCGAGCATAATCAGAAATTAAGGAAAACCACCTGGAAAGAAAAGAACTTAAACTTCCTCTACCATGTAAGGGCTGGTTGAGACAACTCTTAGGTCTCCCTCTAAACCAGTGATTCTCAACCTGTGGGTTTTGACCCACAGGAACTGTATTAAAGGGTCAGGGCATTAGGAAGGTTGAGAATTACTGTTAAACTTTTAGCTATCCAGGGTAAGGCACCCTCATGAACCCTCTTCTAAAAGAAATGGTCCAGGGACAGTTGTCAGTTTAATCCTGGAGCCAAGACAAGAATGCAGGCAAGAAAGAACTGGAATAAAGACTCAAACCCCACCCATCCACTGGGCTTTGTTTCTCAGGCTATTAACATTCACCAGATCTGGTAAGGGCAGGGAACCCAAGCCAAACTGACCAGACCTGAGTGGGATACAGATTTAGGTGAACGCATCTTCAATGCTCACAAGGGGAAAGCATGGAAAAGAATGGATGTCAATCTGGGGGTCTACAGAGAAGGGAAGGAAATGTGCCACCAGACTCCTGACCCAGGATAGAGGGGATTAAGGCTATACCTCTCCTGGGATCAGATTTGCTTGGTTGCAGCTGCAAGATCTCAGGCCATGTGTGAGGCTGAAGGCTTTCTTTGTCTACCTTTCTATGTGTCTTGAACTAATAGCTACTCCTTAGAAAAGCATCCATCTTGGAATTTTCCACAAACCTTCAAGCTTTAGCTGCATTTGACAGGGCAACCAGTAGGAAGGGAATGGGGAGGCAGAGGAGATTTGGGATTAGTGGTTTCAAGGGCCAAGAATGAGGGTAAAGGGAAGGCAACATTGCTTTAGGTCTCCATTTGAGGCTTCTCAACATATTTAGCCTCTAGTTAAATAGTGTCCAAGGAGAAAACCACTGGCAGATAGTCACCTATCAAAGCTCTCATTTGTCAGGCATCAGAAAAGATAAAAGTAACTGTGAAAAAACAGTGCAATCTGAACAATCCCCAGACCTTTTTAAAGCCATTACTGGTTAACTCTTCCTCTGAAGACATTTGCCAAGGACACTGACAAATAAGCGGTAGATTTGAAGTTTCACCTCCCTTTTCCCTTTGTTTCATTCTTTCTGGAAATTCTAGATAGCAGTGAAATGAACCAGAAGCAACAAGAGAAGAAGGTGACTATCTGCTAGGCTCCTAGATAACTGGTCAAGGTGTCTGCTAATTACATCAGCGGGTTCTTCTCCATTTCATGCTAAGTTAAAGCTAAGTAAAACAGTAAGAGAGAAGCTGGTAACTTCTACCTGTTCAGGTTTAGGCAGAATAGTGAGTAGTTGAGATACAGGTTCTGGAGTCCAAATGACCAATCATTGCTCTAACTTTTACTGGCTTTGTGACCTTAGCTAACCTCACTGACCCCTCTGTGCCTCACAATTCCTTTATCAATAGTACTGAGATAATAACAGTACCTATCCAAAGAGGACTCTTAGAGGTTAAGTAACACATGGTGTTTAGCATAATGCTTTACAAACACTTGGTAAATATTAATTATTTCCATTATGTAGACAGACCTGCCTGAAGTTATTTTAGTGCTTTTGACCAAGATTTTGAGTTCCTAAGTTGTTCTGGAGTGTATAACCACCAAAAGTAGGTGGAAGAGGTACCACCATTTACCTGAATTCTGCCGGTGGGGGAGGCAAGTTGTCCTCAGAAAAGGAAGGAGAAGGTGAAGAAGCAGAGTCTGACTGTGGTGGTGGTGGATAGCTGCTTGCATCTACATTTTCAACAGAGCCAATGCTGCCATTCTGGTACACCAGCGTGGTTGGATACCTGACAATGAACCCAAGGCCAAAAGCTATCATTTCAAGAGCCTTAATGGTAATAACTTTTCTCCTTAAAAAAAAAAACTCTAAAGAATACAAAACTATTAGGAAGAAATAAATTCCCCAAATATTTTCTGTTATACTGAAATTTTATTTTAGGATTAAATATTCTATTGTCAAATATCTCCTAGATACTTCTGCTAAATTGTTTATAGTAATGGGATTCAGTCCAGATTATCAAAACCATGCTAATTCTTTCCAGTGTTGATCTTGTCAAACTCAGCAGTTCTTTTAAATACTCTCCCCAAATGTTAAGTGCAGCTATACCTAAATCCCAAAGTCTGTCCTGTGGCAAAAGGTGAACCCACAGGCTAGTGAGTTGCAAACACGTGACTGGCACACAGCCTGACTGTGAGGTCGGCAAGCCTCTGGAGTGCTCAAAGGCCAAGGAGGCGCTTGATTGCAAAATCAAGCCAAGGATGAATGTGGGCGGTTGTGTGGTAGTAAATGGGGCCTCTCTGCCAATTCTCTTATCAAACAAAATGAGCTGACAATTAAAGTAGGGTGCTAGGGGTTACCTCATGGAAACTTATCCTCAGAGCACTGGGCCTTGGGTGAATTTGTTCTAGGTGAACAACAACAAAACTTAAAACAAGCACAAATACACCAAGCATCAGCTAGCAAAAATGTGGTCTGGTCTGCTATACCTCCCCCTTCTTTCTATCATCGTTTGGTTCTGAAGAACTTATCTAAAACACAGCCTAGGGAGAACAGGGCTGGAGAGAACTAACTGAATCAAAAGATGCTCTTATGTGGAAAATCCTCAAGGCCTGGAGCCCTGTAGGCTTGGCACACCTCTTTATAGGTTCACCAACAAGCATGTCCAGATAGACTAGCCATGCAGCCTAGCAAACCTCTTGGACAACAGGAAAACAGGAGGCAAATCCTCATCTTCACCACATCCACTCCATAAAAAGGACACACATGATAGCTGGCACTGTGAACATGCAAGCTTCTGGCTGCCCAAGGTTAGAGTGCCATGGCATCAGCCTAGGTCACAGCAACCTCAAACTCCTTGGCTCACATAACCCTCCTACCTCAGCTTCCTTAGTGGCTGAGTAGGCACTCACCACAACAGTGGGCTAATTTTTCAATTTTTAGTAGAGATGGGGTCTGGCTCTTACTCAGTCTGGTCTCAAACTCCTGAGCTCAAGGGATTCCCCCCAACTTGGCCTCCTAGAATGCTAGCATTATAGGTGTAAGCCACCATACTGGGCCAAGCTTCTAGCCTTAGAGTCACTGAACCTATGACAAGTGCCTGTCTGAACAGATGGGACCATGGAACAAAATGCCCCCCTTTACTGAGAGGTAAAGGTAAGGAAGGTACCCTCAGGGCTGATTTCCCAGTAGATGGAAAGGTTCATTTTTACTTTTACCATCTCCATCATTTTTTAAAACAAATCTCTTAATCCACGAAGAAGTAGTGTCAGAAGTGTCAAGATTTTTAAAAGTCAAGATTTTCATGGTAGAGTTATTCCTAAAAGCAAGAACAACTCAACTCTTTCATCATTCCTAGACACCGGCATGCGCTGGCATGGTTGTCTGACAGCCAGGATGCTGTGTATTTAGAGGAAAAACCAGGGCGACATTCATGCCAAGCAGTCATGGTGATTTGGCTTTGAATGTCACATAGGTCAGACACTAGGATAAGCATCAAACCAAGCTTTAAAACCATTTTTTTCCCTTTAAACCTTCAGTGTGGTTTGGTACTGGGAAATGGGGTCAGACTGACATCTCTTATTTCTCTACAGAGATATATAGCCTCAATACTGGCCAAGCAACCTTTCCCACACTATCTCTGAGGTCTGCATTCAGTCCCTTGGCCTTCCTCTTTCCCAAGACTGACAAAGCCTGGCTGAAAAGTTGCTTTGTTGATGTGAAAAACTTCCCTGCTCGGCCCTCTCCATTTCTGTGGAATGCCCACCTCTTAGGCACAACCTTCAAATCAATGTTCTGGAGGCAAAGGATTCCCAAGACCACTTTTTTTTCCCTTTCTAGTCTTTCCTCTGAGGCCTTTTAGCACACCAGTGTCTGGCAGAGTGAGGGCACAAGGAGCCATGGGTTTTCTTTTCCAGACTACTCTA